GTATCAGGTTTAAATTTCTTATATAATTCTATTTAAATAAATAAAAATATGAGTAAATTATGTCACATGGCCTGACTTTTTCATTTTTCTTTCCATTAAGCTTCTAAACTATATTTTTGTTCAATTAAATTAAGTTTATGTAATATAATCCTTTTGTAAAATTCTATTTAATTATAACAATCAAATATATTAACCAACTAGGCCACGCCTAGTTGGCCACTATGTCTTCCTTAGGGTTTAGTCTTAAGGAGATCATAGGTTCAATTCATTAAATAAAATTATTTTTTTATTGTCGTTAATTTAAAATTATATATTAAATAAAAAATATAAATTATAAATTATAAATTAAATTTAATTGAAAATAATAAATTAAAAATTATGGCCTTATAAATTAAATTTTTTTAGTGTTGTTAAATTATAAATTATAGATTACAAATTTAAAATTATATATTAAATAAAAATTATAAATTAAAAGGATAAAATAGTCTTTTGAACATTTATCCTTATCCAGTCCGTCTAACCAAACATTGGATTCATTAAAAATAGTCCAATCTAGACATCTAATCTCATAACTAAACAAACATAGGATACAAATCCAGTCCAACCAAATAGTCCGGAGACAATGTATTACAATCCTCCTTATCCAGTCCGTCCAAACAAAAAGGAATTACAGCAAAAGAACTATTTGAAAAAAATCACAAAAACCTACGAGACAACGCTGAGGAAGCTTTCAAACACATGAACAACGGCCTCATGCTTGTTACCACTCTAATTGGAACCGTCAATTATGCGGCACTCTTCACCCTTCCCGAAGGTTATGATCAAGAAAACACAAGCAAAACCTACAGCCAGCCGGTTCTTCTTATCCAAAAGGATGATATTGTGAAGTTCTTGTGGTACATATCTATTGCTCTATTTTCTCCCCTATTTGCCTTGGTCGCCATGCTTTCAATTCAGTTGTCATGGTTTCGAAGCAACGATTTCTACATAGCCTTGCCATTCAAATATATTGTTGCTACGACTACCCTTGGTTGCTCCACAATCTTCACTATCACGGCATGTTTCCAAGCATATATCCTTGATTGCATCACTTTTAATCGGCATTTTTATATGTGGCGTGCCAGTGTTATGATGGTCCTTGTTTACGTAGACGCATTATACCTGACCTTTTATTACAAGCTCTTTGTGATTCGTTGTTCGCTCGCCTATAAAGGTCAGGAAATGTAGAATTTGTTTGTTTAACTTGTATCCATATGCAAGAATATCCAAGCATTGCTATTTTAAATTTGTGACACAATGACTTGTACTAAGATTGTTTGAATTTTTATACTGATTGTTATAAACAGATGTATGCAAGTTTTAATAATACTTGTTCTTTTCTCATGAGATAAAGTTCATTCAACAAATATTTGTTGAGTTTATGAAATTTAAAGTGCAGTAACTTCTAAAATGATAAATTTCTTGTAGAACAGATCAAAGAATGACGATGTGAGATCAAATTGTGCAACCCTACGAAGATCATTTATTTGTTGAATGATTGTCATGATATCTATCATCGGACTCTAGGGGTGAACACGGATTGGTTTTGTGCGGTTAACAGGGGAACCAAGGACCAAATGCTACCAACTGTTCCTAAAAAATTTGATCTTCAAGCTAAACATCCTGTGTCATCTATATCATTGATGATTAGCTAGATGGGGGAGGAATTGATAATTCTAATATGGAATCTAAAACAAATTCTTTAATAGAAAGATATTAAAGTGTTGCAAACAGGAGAATATATTAAAATTAATTTGTAAAACCTATCTATCAGGTTAGGTCTTGACATTCATGTGACCTGTGACAATTGAGTAGAGATTATTAAAATGTACAAACATAATTCGAAAACATAAAACACTTGCAAACCCTTCTTGGTTGGTTTTCATCTTGGTCAGATCGAGCATGCTGATGACAATTATGGGAAGAAACTTTCATCAACTCATGCATGGCTTTGTTGTGGTCTTTTTACTATTTGAAACTCCGTGCTGGATCCAGTTCAGGAGTTGGAGACTCTAAAATTTGTTGCATAGAGAAGGAGGGACAAGCACAACTCATCCTTAAACAAGGCCTTGTGGATGAAGAAAAGGCTGATTGCTGCAGATGGAGCGCAGTTTATTGTAGCAACCAAACGGGTCATGTAACCAAGCTAGATCTTGGTGGCTTGCCTATTCCTGAAGCTAGTGCCATTCCTTTGAGAGGTGACATTAACTCTTCCTTTAGTAACAATAATTTTGGAGGGAGTCGCATACCAGAATTCATAGGCTCTCTCAGCAATACACAACACCTCGATCTATCATACGCTAAATTTGGCGGAACAGTCCCCTCTCAACTTGGAAATCTTTCCAAGTTGCAGTCTCTTGATCTTATCACTTATGGTGGTTCTTCTATGAATGTCAAAAACCTTGAGTGGCTTTCCCATCATTCATCTTTAAGATACCTGAACATGAGAGAAGTGCGGTCCTTAGCAAGGCTAAGGAAGGAGAGGTTTCAAGTAGTTAATAAGCTCCCTTTGCTGACTAGCTTGAGCATAGGTTTCTGTCGGTTTCCTACGATTGTTGTGCCTTTATACCTCAACTTTTCTACTTCTCTTGCTATCCTTGATCTCTCTGGTAATGGTCTCATTTTGTATTCCTTATTGACAAGCAGGACCCTTAAATTTTAGCCATCGTATTTGAATGAAATCCAATCAATTCCTTGCACACAAGTCGAGAAACTCGAACCATTGATCTCCTACTGGAGTGCAAAGGTTCTGACCAACGAACTTACACCATTGATCAACTACGTAGGGAGCTAAACTTTTGATATTAAACTTACTAAGTAACATATCAAAATTAAATTTTTGATTTTTAATTTTTGTGTTAATCAAAACGAGATGAGACAAAATCATCCCAACTACATGCAAAGGTGAAACTCTAAACTCTAAATAAGACTTGTACATGATGATGGCAATGGAAGCTAAGTGAAAATGCACTCATCTTTGCACTCTTCCATGCATTCTCAAAATTAGAAATAAAATGACCATAAAAATAAACAGTATAGAACTCAAGATACTCTCACTAATTTCATACATTTTTCATTGATTTTAATATTTTTTTTAACCTTTTCACCATTTCCAAAATACTTGTATATGCGAATCCCAACATCAAAAAATGTTCAAGGCACACTTGTTAGCATATACCGTAAATTAATATATTGCTATAGTTGAATTGTATCTGCAACTATTTGAGTGAATTGGAAAGAAAATGTTAGCATTAAGTACCAGTCGATACAAAATCGTATATGTTGATATGTATTGAAATTTGCAAGCCTATTTTCTTGATCGCATATATTTTAATGTTGATTCTTATATGTGGTATGTCAATGCTATGATGGCCCTAGGTTACGTAGATGCATTATACCTAACCTTTTATTACATGTTCTTTGTGATTGGTTCCCTCTCCTATAAAGGTCAAGAAATGAATAATCTGTCTGCTTTATTTGTATAGATATGCAAGGATATCTAAATGTGGCTATCTTAAATTTGTGACACAATGACTTGTACTAAGATTGCTTGAATTTTTACATTGATTGATATAAACAGATGTATGCAAGTTTCAATAATACTCATTCTTCTCATGAGATAAAGTTCATTCACCATATATTTGTTGAGTTGATGCAATTAAAGTGCAGCAACTTCTAAAATGATAAATTTCCTCTAGATCAGATCAAAGAATGACAATGTAAAATCAAATCGTGCAACCCTACGAAGATCATTTATCTGTTGAATGATTGTCATGATATCTATCATTGGACTCTAGGGGTGAGCACATATTGGTTTTGTGAGGTTTAGAAGGGAACCAAGGACCAAAAACTACCAACTGTTCCTACAAATTTGGAATAAAATCAAATTATAGAAATTGCGGAATTAAACTACACCAAACCTGTGGGAAATGGTTCGATTAAGCTTTGGAACAACTATTCAAGACAGAATCCAATAATATTCTCAAATGTCAAAATCATATTCATTTCCTGCAACAATATAAATAAAATAAGAAAGCTAATTAGGTTCAGGTAAATAAGTACTATATTAAGAATAAAGCATTGAAATTGAAAAATATTAATAAAAGAAAAACAACTCTTCTATGCCGCAAGTCATCATAGTATATTAATTAGTGAAAACATATAGCAAGTTTTAAGATTTGAGGTGAGTTTCATGTCCAGAAGAAATCATCCCGCTTTCATTCATAATATAAATGAACAAATTAATCCTCAGGAACAGAACCATCAATAGTTAATAGATATAGAAGACTAGATAACAATATTTAAAAAAAGGACAACTATCACTGTTTTAAATAGTTATCCTTGTTTGGAGGCATTGGTGGTAGTAGGGTGGTGGTGGTGGTAATGTGTCAGTAGTGACAGGTGTGGAGGTTGTCATTGTGTGGTGGTAGTGACAAGATGGTGAGTGGTGTTGGTAGGGTGATGGCAACAGGAGGGTGGTGGTGGTGGTGGTGGTGTTAGCAGTGGTGGTGGTAAAAATGGTGGTAGTATTTATAAGACTCTAATGTCTTGTTAGGTCCAAAAAATATTTTTACCTTTTAAAAGTAAAAAATATTTTCTATCAAAATCGGCTCATTTTCTGTTTGACTTCGAAAAATATTTTCCATTAAACTTTCATTTTCTATTGTACCAAATACTAGAAATCGTGAAAAAAAATTTTCACCAAAATGAACAAAGGCTATGTACTCCGAAAATGAAGTTTATTGTGCAGATTCAAACAAGAATAAATTTTGTCCACTCATTTCATTTTCAAGATAATTTTCAGAATACTTAATAGTGGTTGAAAACCACCGTTGGTTGATCTCTGGCGCCCAGATCTGGCCAGTACCTCTATCAACTCACCAAGTATATTTCCTTATTTTTGTTTTTATAACACTGACCAAAATTACTTTTTATTTTGCCACTACCACCGTCTCCGTCAACTCACCAAGCATGTTTCCTTATTTTTGTTGTCAAAACTTTTACCAAACTTTTTTTTTTTTTTTTTTTTTTTGGTCTTTTGTAAAAGTAAAAAAACTTATTTTATGTTTTATGTGTCCTGACAAGCCACCTCAATTATTAACTTCTGAATACAAAGACAAAAGTCCAGTTTCATTTTCTGTTTTAACAAAACAAACCCACCTTTCATGGTGCTCCAATTAAAGTTGATGGGAGAACTTTCGGAAATCAAATCCATCTTCCTGTAGTGTGTGGGTCAGGTCAGGCCTTTGACATTTTTGTCGGTGGCCAGATTTGATCTTGAAATCAATGTTTCAATTATACGTCAAGCAGCCACAAAATCAAAGTTGAGCGAAATCTTCGGTCGACAAAAGTCTTTGACAGCATATCAAGCAGAGATTATTAAAATGTACACAGCGAATTCAAAAACATAAAACACTTTAAAACCCTTATTGGTTTCGTTTTGAATTTTCTTCATCTTGATCAGATCAACATGTCCATGATGACAATTAAGGAAAGAAGCTCCCAACAATTTGTTGATGTCTTTGTTGTAGTCTTTTTACTATTTGTGAATTCCCCTCCTGCATCCAGTTCAGGAGTTAAAGATGCTAAAATTTGGTGCATAGAGAAGGAGAGACAAACACTACTCATCCTTAAACAAGGCTTTGTGGATGATTATAGCCATCTCTCTTCTTGGGGGAGCGAAAAAGAAAAAGCAGATTGTTGCAGATGGAGAGGAGTCCATTGCAGCAACCGAACAGGTCACGTAACCATGCTTGGTCTTGGCAGCTTGCCTATTGCCATTCCTTTGAGAGGTAACATTAGTCCTTCCCTAGTTGAATTGCAGCATTTGAATTATTTGGACCTTAGTAACAATAATTTCGGAGGCAGTCGCATACCCGAGTTCATTGGTTCTCTCAGCAATTTACGTCACCTCAATCTATCTTATGCTGGATTTGGTGGAACAGTCCCCTCTCAACTTGGGAACCTTTCCAAGTTGCAGTCTCTTGATCTTAGTCCTTATGGTGGTATGAATGTCCAAAACCTTGAGTGGCTTTCTCATCTTTCATCTTTAAGACACCTTAACCTGCAAAATGTGGACCTTAGCAATGCTAAGGAGTGGTTTCAATCAGTTAATAAGCTCCCTTTGCTGACTAGCTTGCGCTTAGGTTTATGTCGGCTTTCTAAGATTGTTGTGCCATCATACATAAACTTTTCTACCTCTCTTGCTATCCTTGATCTCTCTGGAAATGGTCTCACTTCTTCTAGTTTCGATTGGTTGTTCAACTTTAGCAGTGCCCTCATTGAGGTTGATCTCTCTAATAACCGCTTACAAGGTGTGATTCCCTATGCTTTTGGAACATGATTTCCCTTGCACACCTTGATCTCTCTTCCAATCGGCTTGAAGGTGGAATTCCGAAATCTTTTAGTAATTTAAGCAGATTGCAATCGTTGGATCTATATTTCAACAAACTAAACGATAGCCTTTCTACCATTATTCAAGTCTTGTTTGGGAGCATGGAAAACTCATTATTAGAGTTTCTACAATTAAGTAGGAATCAACTTAGAGGCTCGTTGCCCAACAACATAAGTTTTCCAAGACTGACAGATTTACATCTTGATTGCAATCTATTGGATGGGTCTTTTCCAGAAACTTTTGGACAACCATTATGTAATCTTCTTGTTCTAGATTTGTCCCAAAACCAGATTACGGGGTCATTGCCTGATCTGACCTTATGTTCATCATTGAGAGAGTTATATCTCTGGAAAATCAATTCAAAGGGACTCTATCTAGAAGAATCGGGCAGCTTCCCAAGCTCGAAGTTTTGGATGTTAATTCAAACCATCTAGAAGGTCTTGTCTTTGCAGCCCATCTGTCGAATCTCTCCCGATTGCAGTTCTTAGACTTGTCTCTTAATTCTTTAGTTTTAAAGTTCAACTCAGGGTGGATTCCACCTTTTCATCTAGATACCATAAGGCTGAGATCTTGCAAGTTGGGCCCTCATTTTCCAAAATGGCTTCAAACTCAAAAAAACGTTTCTGTGCTTGACATCTCTGCTGCTGGAATTTCAGCTACCATCCCCAGTTGGTTCTGGGACCTGTCTCCAAGAATGCGTTTGTTAAATATCTCTTATAACCATATCAATGGCATCATGCCCGATTTGTCATTGAAGTTTCCAGCGTTTCCTGCAATAGACTTGAGTTCTAATCACTTTGCGGGTCCAATTCCGTTCCTCCGCCGTACTGCAACATCACTGAATCTCTCCAAAAACAAGTTTTCAGGGTCAGTTTCTTTCTTATGCACAATTAAATTTGAGCAATTGACCCGTCTTGACCTTTCTGACAACATAATAGGCAGAGAACTCCTTGATTGTTGGATGTGATTCACATATTTGGATGTTCTAAACTTGGCCAACAACAACTTAACTGGGAAAATTCCTAGGTCTCTGGGCTCCATATCGAAGCTTAAGGTATTGCAGTTCCGTAACAATAGTTTCACTGGGGAATTGCCTTTGCCTTTGAGAAACTGCATAAACTTAATAATTATTGATTTGGGAGATAACAGAATATCTGGAACAATACCAACTTGGATAGGGGAAAGTCTATCTATGTTGGTTGTTTTCAGTCTGCGATCAAATGAGTTCCATGGAAGCATACCTACTAATTTTTGTCAGTTAAACAACATTCAAATCTTGGATCTGTCCCTAAATAATATTTCAGGGACCATACCAATGTGCCTTGACAACTTTTTGGCAATGACTCAAACTCTCAGATTTGATCCAACCATTTATGTTATTTATGATCAAACTTATACCATCCGGGATGGTGAAGAAGGTTATTACAGCCCCCATTATGTCCTCAGTGCATTGTTGGTGTGGAAAGGTAGGGAATATGAGTACAAAAATACTCTAGGACTTGTGAAGAGCATTGATCTTTCAAGCAATAAGTTAACCGGAGAAATTCCCAGTAACATTACGCGTCTTGTTGGTCTGGTTGCCATGAATTTCTCAAGAAACAGGCTAGCTGGACCAATGCCTGCAGAAATTGGCGACTTGAAATTGTTAGAATCTCTTGATTTGTCCAGAAACCAGCTTTCTGGGGGAATTCCTATAAGCCTTTCAAACTTAAATTTTCTTAGTCACTTGGACTTATCGGACAACAACTTATCAGGAAGAATCCCATTAAGCACTCAACTGCAGAGCTTAGATAATTCAACATTTGTTGGAAATCTGAACTTTGTGGGGCACCACTTACAAAAGTGTGCCCAGGAGATGAAGCACCTCAGAATCCAAAAAGACCAAATGGCACTTATGGCCTAGATAATCAAGAGGATGAGGACACATTCTGTCATGACCCGAACCCGCCCCTATGGGTTAAGGACATAACTGGCCAGTAATCCTGTGATTACCTACAGCCTCAGACCCAAAACAACATGACTTGTCAGAGTAAAGGGGCCAAACGGAAGCAAAAATTTAAAACTTTGTCCATAGAGCCGTGCTTATATGCACCTCAAACAAACCATACTCAGATACGTTAATAACCCACATCAAAAGTACAGTCTCACAAAATTCATTACAGACAGGATCATCCAAAACGAGTCAACCTATAACAGACTATATACAGACATACACTAGGCCCTTGCCAATAAGACGAAACATAAGTACATAATAAAAGGCAAGGGTGGTCTCATGCGTGAGGCACAAGGCTGACTCTCCAGAACTCGTGTTGTTCCTAGCAAACTTCACTGGAGCTGGGTTTGTGCTTCTCTTGGCTCACCTACAAACACATGAATGAGCGTGAGCGATAGCCCAGTGAATAATATCAAATATGACAGTTACATAACAATATGTAGAACAACATTGTAACGCCCTCAAAATAATAACATTAAACCCATCAAATAAGACATGCGTTGATATATAAACTAACCACATTCTTGTATCCATCAGAGTCTATTACATATGCATTACATGTTAACATCAAAACAAAATGCCCTACGGGCTTACAGCTTTCCAAGTTAACACTTGGTTACAACAAAGAGTACTAACTCGTTACACATTAAGCCCTTGGCTTGACGTTACATGTAATACATCAAAAGTAAAACAACAAAACATGTCCGCCTCTAGCCTCCCAAGCTACGTCCTTGGA